GCACCTTAACTATTTCAGTGTTTGTGTTATTATAATTTTAATGACCTCCACAATCAAGAGTGTCTGTGCTCCACATCTCACGCCTTCTAACGCCATTTTTATTGTTGATATTTGGTGCCAGTTAATCAGAAAGTGACTATTTTGTTTCTTGACTCGTTGGATGAAAACGTTGCTTTATTTGCACGTCTTTCATGCAACATTCCAGTTTTGCGTATTCATTTAATTCACATTTTTGGATGGAAATATAGCTAGTGTCTTATCTTTTGGAAGAAGCCTGTGTCATTTACTGTAACACAAAAATAGATTTAAAAATTTAAAAAAAAAGTATCTTTAAATCAGAATTTGACAAGGGTATGAAAAATTTCGCACTTAACTCAATGTACTGTATATATAATATATATAAATTGAATTATTTATTACTATATTTCATTATAAAATTGGCCTTTTCCTTTTTGGAAATCAGCTAGTATATGGGCAATTTATATGATGGCCATTTTACCTCAGATTGATGTCTGTACATAGTAAGATACATCTTTTTATGGAAATAAAAATGGTGCTCATTTCATGTGCTGGGATGGTTCTAAGAAGAGCATGGGCTAATTTCCAAGTTCCACCTTTCTCCATTCCTGGATCTCACTCCTTTAAGGAACAGAAAGTGCAAGACGGCTCCTCAGGGAGTTCCCAGGGTTGGGGGAATCAAGCTGTTCCAGAGAGCGGCTAGCAGAAGATGAGCTGCAAAAACACATGCAGACTCCTCCTTTGGACAGGTGCCCAAGCACACGGCTAATCAGAGCAGCAGACATGTTTCTGTGAAGTCTGGTGGCCGTCAGAATGGTGCGGCTCGGAGAGAGAGCAGAGATTGAGGGGTAATGATGGCCCCCCAACAGACTGTCTGTGTTTGACTGATCTGTATAGGTGTAGCATATGTGTGGGGTCACGGAGGTGAAGCTCTTGATGAACCCAGCCTCGTGTGATCTCTTAAAGATGGCATGAAACCATGAGAAATCTCTCTCATCGGTTTTTAATAAACTCAGTGTGCTGTAATTAATCCTGCTTTTATGCATCCGGCAGCATTCAAATGATGTCGTTTGATTTTTTTTTTTTTTTTTTTTTGTCGTGTCACAGTGTTATGAGTGGTAATTAAAGTGAAATATGTGTTGCGTATTGACCAATTTAGCTCAGAGAATCCACACTGTGACTTTAAAACATACAGTCAGGCTTTTATCAACATTTTACTGCATTTCAGATTATTGGTTGCACCAGTTTAGGGAACTATTCAAAACAACTGCAAAAAATCATTTAAATAATACGGTTGTGCTATATAATCCATATATTGTTCATATAGTTTACAATACTGTATAGTGTAATCTATAAAGTGAAAACTGCCTGTGCGGTGGTTTAGCTTTGCGCTTTAGATGTGTCCATCTCCATCATAAAAAGAATGTTATGTTTGGTACTTTAATGTGACATTATTATCACATGCATACTGTATCTGTCGCTTTTGTTCATCTTTGTAATCCCTACAGTACAGTAACTTTTAACAGAGCATTGATATTGCTATGGATAGGCTCATCTTGAGTGTTTGGGGTTACTCATGATCTACTGAGGTTTATTTTTAATATTGTATGGATGAACTGTGAGGAGAATAGAGAGACCTTACTGTAAACATTTTTTCAGGGTTCTTGTACCTTTTCCAAAGTAAAATTCAAGCACTTTTTTAATAACCTTTCTGATGCATTTTCAAACTTTTCCAGCACTTTTTAAGTTTGGCATATTACCTGTTTGCATACATATAGACTACCGGTAAAAAGTTTGGGGTCAGTAGGATTTTTAAATGTTATAAAATAAGCTTCTCCTGCTTACCAAGGCTGCATTTATTTCATTAAAAAAACAGTACAAATTGTAAAATTGTAAAATGTTACTGCACTATAAAATAACTGTTTTAAAGTAATTTATCATTTAATTTAATCATTTATTCCAGAGATTTTAAAGATGATTAATCAGCTTAATCAGAAATCACTCTAATATTAATTATTATTATTAGTAGTAGTAGTAGTAGTATTAATATTAGTATTATTATTATTCATTTTAATAGTACTAAAAGCAATAATGACTGGAGTAATCATTGCATATGAAACTACATACAATAAGAAAGCAGTTATTTAAAGTTTTAATAAATATTTAACAATTTTTTTTTTATCATTTAATAAATGCCACCTTGATGAAGAGAATAATTTTCTTAAAAAAAAAAAAAAAGTAGTATACTTACTTCAGCACATTATGTCAGATGCTATTTGTTATTGTATTCTAGTATAGTATTTCAGGGATATTTTTATGACAGGTGTGCCCCAAACCCAACAATAAATTACTGTCATTTACTCTTTTAAATGTAATTTTGTCCCATCCTAAATGTGTCATCTTTCATATTTGTTTTGTTTTGCTTTGTGTTTTTTTGTATTTGTTTTTTTGTTTTGTATTTTTGTTTTCTTTTTGTTATTTTATTTTTTTTCTGTTGTTTTGTACACTGTGGGACCACCTTGAAACAGAAATGTCACATCTCAACTGGTTAATTCTAATGAGTAAATTGAAAGCAATAACATTTCAAGCACTTTCAAGAATTTCCAGCACCTCTGTAGTGTAACGGTGGCGCAGTGGGTAGCACGATTACCTCACAGCAAGAAGGTCGCTGGTTTGAGTCTTGGCTGGGTCAGTTGGCATTTCTGTGGGGAGTTTGCATGTTCTCCCCCTGTTTGCGTGGGTTTCCTCTGGGTGCTCAGTCCCTCACAGACATGCGTTATAGGTGAATTAAATAAGCTAAATTAAATTGGACCTAGGGTATGTGTGTGGATGCTGGATAAGTTGGCGAATCATTCCGCTGTGGCGACCCACATGGGCGTCACTAGGCCCATTTTATTTTTTATTTATTTTTTAATTTTATTTTTACTAAGCCCCCCTAAAACTTTTCTGATTAGCTCATTAACTGTAGACCAAATTATCGTCTCTGTGCCCTTTAAATTTGATATGAAGACAGCTCAAAATTCGGCTCCTCCCCAAGTTTCGTTTTTCATTTGATCAGCAAACTACAGCTTTGCAGAGCCAGAGAGCAAGGTGTGTCTTCATCGATAAATTGTTATAAAATATGCTTATTTGCAATTCTTTGCTATGGATACACTTGTATCACTTGTACCCCAATGTCATATAGGAGCAATCAGGTTTCCAATCTACTCTTTTCTTAGTGCTCACCTCATAATCACAGCTGTTTCATCCAGCGAAAGTAACTCTTAATGAAAATTTTACTATTTTTATATTAAAATAAACTACCATATAGTTTTAAAACACGTTCCAGTGCATGAGGCATATATATATATATATATATATATATATATATATATATATATATATATATATATATATATATATAATTTATATATATATAAATTCTTTTATTTTTTATTTTTCTTATAAGGAGCTGAGCCCCCCTAAAATGAAAATACTAAAATCGGCCCTGGCAACCCCTGATTAATAAAGAGACTAAGTCGAAAAGAAAATGAATGAATGAATTCAGTGTTTTTTACAGTTTACAGTTTTACAACAAACATTAGTTACACTTAACATTCACGCTAAATTCATAGGGCATTAGAAAATGTGATTTTGTGAGTGCTGCATGGTTTGTGTGAAATTCGTTGTCAAGTTTTTAAGAAAACAGAAAAAAGTAAATGCATTTTGTACCTTTTGAGTAAGAAAGTAAGGTAAAACTCTACACTTACCCCAAACACACTATCCAACAATATCACCTTGACAAATAGCCCATGGTCTTCCTATCCTCATTGCACAGGTGGGCTCTGTCTGTCTCAGTGTGACAGTGCATGTACTCAGTGTCCACTGCCAAGTGCTCTTGCCCGAGAGCGATAGAGTTAAAACGGGACTGACCGTAGGTTTGGATCTGACCGTATTGCTCTGCACCTGGTCGAATCTTACAGCAGAGCCCCATCACAGCCTTTGTGTTGGAGGCGGACAGCTTTTCAGAGTTCCTGCTTCAAAGCCTGCAAAATCCAGTAAACTTAGCCACACAATCGGCGCTGGCCAAAACAGCATCTGATGTGCCTTATTTGTTGACGGAGTGAGATCTATCGCAGAGGGTGCGCCTCACTTGGCTTACAATGCAGGGACAACGTAAAGCCCCTTATTCGTAGAGAGTCTATGAAGACGCTGGGTTCCTTCCAATATCTAATGCCAATTATGAGTTGAAACTAGGGCAGGCGACTGCGATTTTAGTTCTTCATTATTGGTTGTTACACACTAGTTTTCAGTCATACATGTTAGGGGTGGGGGGGGGGATATACTGCTTTAAAAAAAAATTATAAAGAGAACACTTAAGAGTTACATTGTGTTGTTTAAGTGTTCCCTTTATTTTTTTGAGCAGTATAATAGTTCTGTGTGATAAAATTGTTTCTGTAGAACATTAATAAATACAGTACGTATTATGCATCACACATGATGGCCCATGTGTGCGCTTGTGTGTGGCTGTTATACGCTAGGCGAGAGCTCCCTCTTGGTGCCAGCACACCCAGTTTCTGCAGCTGATGTGACACACACTATAGAGCAGTCAGCAGTGAGATACAATGACACTGTGCTCTAGTAAAAGAACCTTTTATTATTGTTTTAAATGATAACACTTAGAATAAGCAAAAATGTTTTAATGAAAATGATTTTATCATAATATTAATTTTGTTTTCATTTCATAATCTTTTTTTATTAAATGTTTATTTTCCAGAGACATTTTCCTACTCTACTCTGACATGATGTGTTAAATTGACATGTGATGTTGATGATGATGATAATATTAATTATAATTAAAATAATAATGATACTAGACATTAATTCTTGCAGTAATACATGTTGTAATAATATTAAACAACAAATAATTAAAAAATGAATGACTGTATGTACAAATGAATCAATCAGTTAATGAATTAAACCTCTTTTTCTTTTTCTCCTAGGGTCGCTGTATGAATTTCAGTCGCACGCAGCATTAACAGAGGACAAGCTCTAGAATATGAAACACTTTGACTTCCAAGTGTTCCAGATTGGACAAGAGAAAAAAAAGCAAAATTTCCCCGAGATGTCATAGCTTGTCTTTGGCCACTTTAGAGCATCTCAAGTATTGGCTTTCCAAAACGTACAATTCTGGGTCTGCTATCTCTCTCTCAAGCCACTGAAATGCAATGACTAATTAGATTAACACACACACACACACACACAAAAAGAAGTGTCTGAATTTGCAGCTGATCTGGTTAGCTTTAATGCACAGTAAAGGCGTTTTGGTGTTCGGACCATATTGTGCCTTCTGTGAGGAAAAAAAAAAAGAATTAAAAATATGAATCTTATGGACACAGACGGAGGCTATTTAAAAAAAAATAGCAGAATGAGATGAGGCTCTTTGCCGTTGGCTGGGAAGTAGAACTAATCCCAGTAGGCTCATGGAGTGCAGAAGTACTTTGCCTCTTGGCAATGTCTCTACACAAAAATCTCTCCAAGCCCACTATCATCGGATGCCTAGCGGGGCTTCTTTGACTAGAGATCTTGTCATTTTAACACTGAGAAGTGCACACGCTTGACAAATTGTAGACAGAACGCCCTAAGGTACTGGGCGCAGTAAGACTTTGCCCTTTAGTTTGTGAAGACACCTTTCTATCAATGCGAGGACAGCGCAGAGAAATTAATAGAGCGTTATTGCACCGCAAGACACCCCGTGACCAAAGCTCTCCGGCAAGGTTTTGAGGGACAGCTTTACCTCTGATGGTTAGAGCATCCTCCCCGCTTATTTGGCAGTCTGTTCTGTGCTCACTAATGCATAGATGTACGCAGTTCAAAAGCATGCCCTACAGTTACAGCTTTTACACTGTACTTTAGTACTGCTGTCCGACCGTCACAACTCTCAGTATTTGTGCAGTACGAATATCAGAGTTGACAGCATCAAACTTTGATTGATCAAAAAAAGCTAGTTTAGAGATGTATTTGACCTCTGTAGTTTTTTTATTTTTATTATTTATAGAATTAGACTATTCAGCCATCCGTCCATCCGAGATACTCCAGAGATCAAACCGAAAGGGGCGACGGACGGATGAGTATTGTTCATTTCCAGAAATGATCTGCGTCGCTCTCCCCCCTCCGCTTAGTGCACAGAAAAGCGAGCAATATATATTTATTTTAGATTTCTTTAACGCGCTGTCATGACGGCGATGGCGAATGATGTCAGTGTCAGTGCAAACACTGTGGGGGAGGAAGGGGGCGGCAGCTGAAGAAAAAGGCTCGAACGATCCAGTCACTTTCGATACGCTACTTCAGATGCAAAATGGATATTCGAGTCGAAATCTGACAAAGCGTGCCGGCTTTGACGGGAAGTGGTATAGACAATGACCAGTGGCTGGGTCAGTGGGATGTCTCGGTGCAAGCAGGGAAGCTTATCAAATGACACTAAAAATAAGTTCAACAACCATCAAGTTTGAGGGGGGAACAGAATGGGGCGCAGTGGCTCGCATTCGGTGGGCATGCAAGTGTGCAAGATGGCAAGACCATTAGGGGAGGAAAAAAAATGCCCTTGTTTAATTATTTCTTTGTTTCTAGCATCGCAATTGTATGGACGCTAATTAATATTCCCTCCACCCCCTTCCAAAAAAAAGGAAAGAGAGAACCAAATTCATGCTTGGAAATGTTATTCTCAGAGTGGCACTTACAAGTTAAGCTAATGCACTTCATGGATAGCTAGGTGAGTGTCACTTTCTGCTTTATTTTTGATTTCTTTTTATACATCACAGATCATAAACTATTTAAATGAGATATTTGCATATTTGTTTAGCTCTAGCGTACATACAGTTTCTCCATCTCATCTTCACCACAGCACCGCTTTGCTTTTTTATTATTGTTTTTGCATACTCACTTTTTGTTTTTTATGTTTTCTTTCATGATGCATTTTTATTGTTATATTTATGTTTTGATTTTATTTGTGGATCACATGTGTTTTAATATTTTGGACCCATTAATGCATGTGGAGAGATTGTAAATCTTTCACATGTGCACAAAATTGCTTTTATTCTTTGTTTTGTTTCATTAAGCACTCTAGCTGTCATTTATTGCTTATTTTTAATGTATGTTTTGTGCAACAAAAAAGTAAATCTAAATCGCACCTTGACTTTTTATTTGAAATTAAACATTTTGATGTAGACTTTTTTGATATAAAAATATAATGTAGTTTTAAGCACCTCAGACATAACAGCTCTGCACTATTTTTGTACAAAAAATGCAAAAACAAACAGTCTATTAACAATGATAATTTGTTGAATTAAGTTCATAATTTGTTATATTTAATTTTTTTATGCAATAGTATTTGCAGCCCTTGTGCTTATAGTGCCTTATGTCTTACTGCAGTCCGGCCAATGAATGTACTTTCAGTAGTAACTTATTTTTACCAAATGTAGTATACACAAGGATTATTATGTTGTTTTTGCTTTATGTATTATTAATATTGTTTTTTGATGTTTTTTTCTGAAAACAATAGGATTGCAGATTAATTCAGTAGTACTTTATTAAAGTAGTACGCAATATTGGCATTATAACAATGCAAATTAAATAGAAAAATACAAATACACAAATGAACAAGGAGTAAATTTGGAAGTAAATTATTTTAAAAAAATAACATTGATATATTGATTTATTTTTTACCTACATGAAATGCACAGAAAGCTGAAAACACCCAGAATCACCATAATCATAAGCATTGTGCTTGTCGTGTGTTTTTCTGCAGTTGCACTCCATACACACCACTGCTTTTAGCACATCTCACCATGACAGATTTCACAGATATCTCATTTAATCGCGTCTTGACATTTTCCTTATTCAGTTTCAGACATTCCTGTATTTTCGTTCTTTTATATTTGCATTCATTTGAATAAAATAAATGTCACATTTTGAAATGAAGCTGTGTCCTTTCTAAGCACCTGTCAGGATCACTGAACTTTAATGATTCATCAGGCATCACACTTAAGCAGATTACTCACTGTACGTGATTCTGCACAGCTTACATTCAGTAACTGCGCTATTAAAAGCCATATTTTATATCATAAACTGCTTTTAACCAAAACATCATCTGTCTTAGCTGACTATTAGTGGAGCTGGATGTGTTAAACCCTTTACATAAACATCTCTGTTTAAGCTAGCATGTTATTATTATTATTAATATTATTATTGAGGTATAATACAACACTAAAAAATAAGTCTGTCAAACTCATGTGGCTCATGATTCCATCATTAGTCAACTTATAATAGGCTAAGTTATATTGTAAAATAATTTCAGTACTTGCAATACAGCCGCTGTCATTTACAGTTTATCTACTCTCACCGGCCACTTTATTAGGTACACCTTACTAGTACTGGGTTTTACCCTATTTTGCTTTCAGAATTGCCTTAATCCATTGTGGCGTAGATTTAACAAAGTACTGGAAATATTCCTCTGAGATTTTGGTCTATTTGGAAATATTGTGCCATTTCAGCACAACCCAAAGGTGCTCTATTGGATTGAGTTCTTTCATGTCGTTGACACCAAATTCTTTCTGACCCTACCATACGAATGTTGCAGCAGAAATCGAGACTCATCAGACCAGGCAACATTTTTCCAATGTTTTATTGTCCAATTTTGGTGAGCCTGTACGAACTGTAACCTCAGTTTCCTGTTCTTAGCTGACAGGAGTGGCACCCGGTGTGGTCTTCTGCTGCTGTAGCCCCTCCACCTCAAGGTTGGATGTGTTGTTCATTCAGAGATGTACTTCTACATACCTCAGTTGTAACGAGTGGTTTTTTGAGTTGCTGTTGCCTTTTAATCAGCTCAAACCAGTCTGGCCATTCTCCTCTGACCTCTGGCATCAACAAGGCATTTGCTCTTACAGAACTTACATTCTCTGTAAACCCTAGAGAGATCCCAGTAGTTCAGCAGTTTCTGAAATACTCAGACCAGCCTGTCTGGCACCAACAATCGTGCCTAGTTTAAAGTCCCGTAAATCACCTTTCTTCCCCATTCTGATACTCAGTTTGCTCTGCAATGTGATTGGCTGATTAGAAACAAGCGTTAACACAGTTAGACAGGTGTACCTAATTAAGTGGCCGTTGAGTGTATGTCTCAATAGGTTGCTGTAAGTTATTGTTTTTTCTCCATCCAGCCGCACAAGGCTGTTATTAAGCATGCATTAAGCCTTCGTTAAACCTACACTTGATTCCCACCTAACCCTGCTTTCCAGCTGTGCCTCATACCCTTACAATGCATGACCAAACGCTTCATTGTCTTTGTGCTGCTCATCATTCCCCCTGGAAATGAGGCGTACAAGACATTTCACACACCTGGTTACGACTATAAAACCACTCGATTTTAAAGTCAAAACTTGTGCCTTTAACACAACATTAGGTCTCAAAAGGAGATTTTACACTTGAACTAAGAAAACGCTCCGAGTTGAATTGCAATGGCTAATTATCACAGGTTCACACTGGCTGATAGATGTGTTACGGGGTGTAAATGCTGAATTATAGCATTTTTAATTTAGCTTCTAAGTTTGATGAAGTGAAACTTTCAACTTCCATCAAAGACTCCTTCAAATAAAAAGTGCTGTACGATTTAATTTTATGATTGCATTTTTGAAGTTTTGCCTATTATGCTATTTCATTTTACTAGATCTTATTACTTATTCTAATAGATCCTACAGTAATTTGTTTCATCTCCTACAATAGAGATACATGCATTCAAGGTCAAAAAATTACTTTCATTTTTGCATAATGTACATTTTATGTCACCTCATTAAAAAAAACTATCTTTTTTGAAAGCCTCCTCTGCCACCCGCTTATCACTTGATCACATGGGCGTTATCAGTGGTTATCAGCTGATAGATATGGGTCAGTAGGGGCCTTCTGCGCCTACTGGTAGGCTCAGATGGCTATTATCATCAATCCGCATGGTTAATCAGCTATACTAATAGAGAAGACTTCAGATTCAGATCTATTTTTACATTACTGTGACACTTGGATTTAGGGTTAAGGTAGGGGTAGACGTTAATAAAATACAATTAATGGGAAATATAATAAATAATATAAATAACTCTTGTTAACTTCCAGGCAACCGCATGTGATCTATAGCTGATTAACCATGAGTATTGATGTTAACAGCTTTTTGAGCCTACCAGTAGGTGCAGAAGGCTCATATCGATCAGCTGATAACCACTGATAACACCCATTCAATCGAGTAATAACATTTGAATCGGCTGCCTCTGCCCTTGTTGGTCATATGGATCCATTTGTTGTGATTGTTCTACTGCTTACAATATTG